AAACAGGGTTAACTCCTAGCGACTCCTAGAGACTAGTTGCATGTACACTAGTTATACCTGAAGTAGTGAACAAACTAACGAAAGAGTACCAAGGGTAAGGTAAAAGCAGAGGTAAAAAAGCCTTGAAAAGTATTATGGGAAGGCTAGGACTTGCACAGTCATCAGAAATTGCATTAATCACCCCTGAGGGTTGTCTGCCCTGCTCCCAGGGTACAGCATCGTTGTGTGGAAGACATGGAGAGTCGTACTTGGCCGCTGGGGAGGGGGTCGTATTTGGTCATTGTCGGGATAGGAGGTCGATGTGCCTTCGAAAGAGATTTGCCGCGTTGGGAAAAAATTTTCCCCGGTTGTTGTTTTGCGGTTTTTCTCTTCCTCATTGGCTCTATACCACTCCCTGCTCGACGGAGAATTTTTAGGTGAAAAAGGTAGGAACTGGTAGGAAGCTGGGAACTTGTAGGAAAGTGGTAGGTAGGTGTTGGGGAAGGGGGGAGGTCGTAGCGAGGCCCTCCTTCGTAGTGGGTGGTCGTACTGACACCATCACTTCACACATCACGATGCTGTACTCTGCCTGCACTGGACAACAGCCCGACCCCGACGCAGGATGTTGCATCGGGATGGGCGGAATGGCGGTGTCAGGTGGCCCTCCCCATATGACCCCGTTCCCTCATCCTACCTATCATCTTTCCAAATTTTCCCAACTTTCTACTACTTTTCCCGGCCTTCTTCAAAATTTTCCAGGTTTTCCTAAAAAACAGCCAGCGTGCGCGGTGGGGTGACGGGAGATATATAGCAAATATGAGAGGGGAGAAACCGCGGGAAGTCAATGACCAAAAAAATTCTCTTGCGGCACAAGGAAAAAATATCTATCAAGACACGACCAATCTTTCTCAGCGACCAAGTACGACCCCATTCTTCCAAGAATGCTGTACACTGGCTCGACGAGCGGTTCACGCATCACGCCCAAGTGAAGCTGGTGAGAGGACGTGGGGAACGACAGCCGTACGATAACAGGTAGTACGGTAGGAAATTGTATGTCAAGGAAGGGTTACTCAGCTGCCATATTTCTGTTGCCAATCGGAGGAGAGAGATTCGCGAGCGACGAAATTACTGTCGGTTAGTAAAATTAGTGAATACATGCAAACATAAAAAGTATAGCTCACTACATTATTCACAGAACTGGCGAAGGCCTGCGAGTCGTAGGTGTAGGTGGTGCACATGGGGTCGATTGGTACTGGTGCCCATGCGCGACCAGCCTGTGCTTGACGACAACACGACGGCGGCACAAATGATCGTGTACCACGGTCGGTGTTAGTGATGAACCAGAACGAGCCATAATAGTCACGGGCACTTTCGCCACCGCAGCACTGTTGCTACAGCAGAAAAAGCACTGCAAATGTTAGCACAATGACGCAACAAATAAGAGCGCATTCAGACTTTGCGATATAATCGTTGGGATCGCTCGTGCGATCCCGTCGCGTGAACCAAACGCTCGAACGATTTCGTCGCGTAGTTCTGGCGATCGGATCGCGAAGTCTGGATACGCTATAAAAGGAACTGGACGGTTATTAATGGAACGAAACTACGAGCGATATATCGCTGTGAACCTAAAGACATAAGAAAATACAACAGGCCAATAAATACAGGGGGGGGCGCGGAGATAAAAAAGACATTTCTTCTTCCTTGACTTTCGTAACGGTCGCTATAACTTACAATTCGTCAGAATTCTGATCGGACATTTGTTCACCACCATATGCTACAATGAGCGTAATGCGAACTTACCTATCACGGCACTCCGCGCGCCAGCCCCTTCTGGACGAGCGCGCATCGAAGAGATTCATCGGCACGCGGACGCGCGATGTGGTGCCTGAGTTCAGCCGAGATACTAGCATTCTTCCCACCACCGCGTAGACGCAACCCTATCGAACTCCCGCAAACCGGGTAATTGAGTGGGATACAGGTCAGGTTGACGTACTCTGGAATCAGATCTACCTCTTAGGCTTCAGCCCTCTCCATTCCAAGTAGGCGAGAGCTTCTCCAATGCCCTTCGAATTCCCATGTAGGCCGTGCCACCAATGCCTTAACAGTACAAACAGTTTCCAAGAAGGTACGGGCGACCACATGTAGGAGGATATTCTTCACGAGTTGCCCAATGTAACCGCCAGCGCTCACCTTCAGTCCGGGGTCCACGAAGAAAATATTGGTCTTTCCCATTCCAGGTACGTCCCGTCATACCATCAACCAGCGCCTTGGCAACTGGCGCTTGAAGAATGATATCCTGGATCGTAGCGACGTTGGCCTGCGTCTGCTCGATGTCGGAATGCTCTTTTCAGATCGAAGAGCGTCTGGTCTCCCAGGTAGACTCATCGCATGAGTTGGCCTCTCACACCATGAATGTTGCGCAGCGCTGTTTAGAGGTGACATGCTAATTCCTTAAAAGGCTTTTCTCCAGTCGGCTGCCGACTGGAGATGACTTCGCATGTCCGATTCTGCTGGTGTACAGGGTAGGTGACTGGCGCAGCCGAGAAGCTCCTGCTCATAGAGGAACATCTAGGTGGTATCTTCCGCCCGTAGGTACTCGCGTATCACGGCCTCGTCGTGGCTGCTGCGCGGCCTGCGAAAAACTTCTGGCTGATCATCGTGACTCCGGTCGAAAGGTCCCTTCTTTTTTTGGCCCCCCCTTACTAAGTATTAGGACTTGCGCACTTGGTTGCCTACTACTTCTCGCACATTCGAGGGCAAGAGGCGCGGGCGCATAGCGAATGTAACCAACAAGGGATATCCGGGGAGCCTCGAGTTATGTGCCATCAGTGCGTCCCACGTAAGCGCGGCGCTCTACAAGCGACTTTAGTAGAGAAAAACCTTTCTTGAAAATCTTGCAGTCGCACCCACACACTGTCTTACGATCAACTAGCCCACCGGTCAGGTAATAATTAGAATTGATCCAACCGTACATCTGCTAGTAGCAAGGCAACCTGGGAGTAAAGGCCTCAATGAGCGTTTTTGGCCGCTTTGCTTGCTTCACTTTCATACTGTTTGGCTCCTATAGTTCCATTTTTGGCCCCTTCGAATTATGCCTTCCGAGCGCAAGAATCTCATAGATAAGGCCCCCAATGCGCGTGGTGGAAGAGCACTGATATGCTGCAGCTCTGCTCTGCACATGCTTGGTCGTTAGCTCCATTCAGACCCCTCTTTTTTTATCGGTTAGTTGGTAATAATCGTTGGCAGAGAAGCAAGACAAAGTCCATAACTCGTAATCATTAGATCCGTTCAAGTCATTGTGAAAGAAAATTATGTACCCAAACGAATTTTTCTGGATGTCAGAGCAATGACACATGGGATAAAACAACACCGAGCTTTTCAGCTTTTCAGATTTTATAGTGTCTGAAAAATACGAGATGAATGACTTCGACACTGGCAATCTTTCAACCACCTTCAAATTTAGTAGATTCTCATTGCGAAGAAAAAACTCAGAAAATTTTAGTAGCCCTCAGGGAACTGATACGTCATTCAACTTGGAAAGCCCTCTGAAAGAGAACGCTGTGTTTTCGAGGTGGAATGGACATCTAAGTGACCACCGGTTATATAACTCTAGCTTTTAGGCCTCTTGAGATAAGTTTGGACGCCATATAAGTCCAGCTTCGCGCTGGGAATTTGGTGTAGCATACACTTCTCGAGGGCTATAAAGTGAGTGTCCACTGTGGCTGCAGCACCACCAAGAGAGTTATAATACCGTACGTTACTAGATGGACTACTGTAAGTCCCTAGAAGTACGCACGCGAACGCGGCCATTGCCTCTTTGCTCGATTAGAAACGTGTGAGTAGAGCAGCATTGTGGACAGACCGCGACGTACCGCACGCTCCTCTCCTAGTCTGGACACAAACAGCCTATCGGCGATGTAAACAGAACACACGGGACGCTCACTACTGGAACAACGAACGTTTCGCCCATCTCATGACGTAGAACACGGGCAAAACGACATTTGATGAATTGAACTGGTTCGTGTGGAGATAAGGAGAAAAATATTACTCACGGCAAGCCACATCAGATCTCAATACATCCTGTTAGTATTTTGTCGTATTCAGAAGCTCTTGCAGCGATTGTTCGGACTCAGTGAGTTGTAACCGATGCTGATATTCCCTACCTTGACCGTTGCCAATACTTTTGATCTCACTCACAGCAGTATGCCTCCACAACTTGTTGGGGGTAGCTTGCTGACATCGAGCCAAACTCCGTGCCACCGGGTTCAAAGCTGATGCTCCAATTATCTGACGACAACACGACAAGGGCACAAGGGGTGGGTCGTCATGCTCGTAGGAGGGATCTGATGCAACCAGAGCCATCCATCGACTGGCCAGATAGTCGTCGCTTGACACAACACCACAGCATTCCTCCTAAAAGTGGAAATTGAAGTGATAACAGTGGAAAATTTTCCAGATAGTGTGAAATCATTTGCTATGACTATGTAATGCTCTGCTGCTAAAGGTGGGCCATAATAAGAGGGTGGCGCCAAATAATAGAAACAATCCAGATGTCGGAGAAAAGGTGGTCCCAGTTCAACGAAAGAAGGATTGTTACTGATTCTTCTGCAGAGAAAACTGATTAAGGGACAAAAATTATTCTCAGAACAATTTCCATCTAATTCAGTATAGGCCCCAGAGACGTTCGGAAGCGCGTAAACTCTACGGAAAGGTACGCGTAAAGTCGATATCCCCGATATAGGGTGGGCGTGGCTGCGTGACTTTATTTGGAAGCGGCGCGGCTGCATTTTTGGGGATTCCCTCTTCAAAACAACTGTAATCATAGTTTTATAATCTACAGGACAAGATGACCCTGCTTCTACTGTGAATACCAGGGCACAGTATTGGTTGGGGATTTTGGTCGAGTCCGAACGACTCCCCCTTTTTTTGGGAAGGGAGGGGGGTGG